AATTGGGAACAGTTTGCTTTATGTGACCAACCATGGAATGAATATGTATATTCATATATAATGCATCTATATTTTTTATAAACATATATATATATACATATACTTTTTTTTTCTGCCTAGATTTTGCAACCAAGTAGAGATCACAATATTGTGTAATATTATCCAAACTGAAGCTGGATCTACTCAGAATATTTGCTTTTTAAACTTTCCACTAAATGAGGGAGGGGTGGGGAGAGAACCGTGTTTGTTGTTTGATGCCAGGACACCAATTTGTTTATTTTTATATATGGTTTCATATTCTTTTATATGCCTGCTGGTAAACTTCTGGTATCTTTGGTGTCTAGCAAGAAAGTCTCACTTTGTTCCAGTCTTATAATCTAATGCTTCAGTGAGCTTGCATTACTTCTGACAATTTTCCCATGGACACAATGATTGTATATCTCATATATCTGCAGTTTGAAGTGCTTAATAGATTTAAAATCAGCCTTATATAGCAAGCTTTCTATGTCAAACTCAGCTAATTTATAAAGACGAGTATTATGAGAATAGAAAAGAAATTTCCATTAGGGAAATCTGTCAGTAGAGAATGGAGTTTGAAAGTCATTAGGTACCATCATCTCTTCAAATGTTTTAGTAGTAGTAACTATTTTTTTTAATAGCAGTCTCCTACTGCTACATCAGTGTGACTGGAAATCACAGCAGTTGCTAGTAACTGATGCCTGTTCGTCTTCCTTTTGACTGATTAAAATCTTCTCTTTTCAGTCTGTAATGAGAAACACCTTGGTCCTGTATTCAAATCATAATGTTCTTCTATCTTTTCATATTAAAAATACTTCCTGGTATTAGGATACAGCAATATATGATAAAATACACCTTGCTCTATATGATTTTGGTTTGGTTATATTTCCAAGTAGCTGAACAATTATCCATTCTGTAGGTTTATTTTTTTCTCTCCAGAAATGCTGTTCCTGTATATACTCCATCTTCAAAATTCCAGGTGGTCCCAAAAATGTGTCTTTATACTAAATATGTTAAAAAAGAAGCTACCTAAATAAGTCTAGGCTTGAACCAAACTCATTGCTCCCTTTCCCCCACAATCAAAATCACACACATTTGACTAATCTTTTGGAGACAAACCCCACAGCTTTTCAGAGTTGTTTTTCAAATGTGAATGCTTTATTTTAATTGTACATTTAGACTTGGAGGACGTTAATGCAAGCTGCTGGGTGCTTTTAATTTGTCTTGTCTTTTGTCACTGCATATACTGTGTTGTCTGACCCTCCTTTGGGAGGAGATACTGCTGAAAATTGCTGGAAGACTCATGTATGATTCTTGTCGCAAGAAGAAATATATTTATGGAATTAGGATCAAAGGGATGCCTGTGTTTGTAGATTGCATTCTAATACAAAGACAGTTTTGTTACTTTTAAATATATTGGCTTTGAAAGTGGAATCCTAATGAAATCGTCCATGCAAAATTCTTAGCAGTTGCATCTAGTTTTCCAAGTACAGTAATTTAGGAGGTAGCTGGTGAAATCCATATGAAATGCTGCAAGCTGCAGTTATATGGGATAAAGTCCACTTGGATATCAGATTTTATATTAACTTCTACAAACAAAGAAGTGTCCCTTAGGTCCAAAGTTTCTGAACCAGAGGTCATGAAGTGCTGGAAGGATAAACCAGCTAAGTTTATGAATGTTTGCTCTGCTTTTGAGCTCTTCCTTAGGGTATGAGTTATTGATCACTATCAAAGTCAGGATACTGGGCTAGATGTAGCTTTAATTCTATCTTCTGAAGAATATTGTCTTAATAATATTTTGAATTATCTGGTCTTTATATATAAATTAACTGTACCTTGAAACTATTCAGTCTCTATGATGTAATGCCAATTGAAAATCCATTTCAGAGGAGGAGGAAGATTCAACCAGATCAAAAACTAATGCTCAAACAAGCCAAGAGTCTTTTCTCATTTAAAAATAAAATAAACCAAACTTAGCACACTCCCCATAGTTAGGATATATAATAAATATGTGAAAAAATGTCCAAGAACAAAACTGGACTCTTTAAAAGAGCCTCTTAAATAGGAATATCAGAGAATGGTTTGGGTTGGAAGGGACCTGGAAAATCATCTAGTTCCAATCCCTCTTCCATGGGCAGGGACACCTTCCACTAGACCAAGTTTCTCAAAGTCCCTTTCAAACTGACCTTGAGCACTTCCAGAGATGGGCAGCCTGGGTCAGTACTTCACCACCCTCTCAGGAAATAATTTCTTCTCAATATCTAACCTAACCCTACTTTCTTTCAGTTCAAAGATAAAACCCTTTGTCCTATCAAATTCCAAATGTGGGATATGGAATTTAAGGTATGTTATTACAATTTCCTATCTGCATGTATACAGAAACCAGGAAAAAGGATCAATTGTTGCTAAGCAGACAAAAACAGAGCTAAACCTTATTTCTGAACTGGTTCATAAGTACTAGTTATAACTTATATCAAGGTTGTTGGCTTGTTTCATGTAAGTGTTTATAAAAAGCAAGTGTATTGCATATATATTTTTCTGTATGCTTACTTTTCTGTCATGTCTTTATGTAGCTCTGCATATAGGATATGGCTTGTATGGAAACATGTATGCAGCTGAAGTACAATACAGCAAATGTTTAACACTTCTTCTGTCCATGGGCTCAACAGGACTAATTATCTGCTTACTTATGTTCATAGTAGTACTAGAGGTTTGAGTCCTTAAGCTATAAGCTCTGTGGTAAGGTTTTAGGCATATTTACATCTACCATATCTGGGAACAAAACTCTAAAAGAAAATAACAGTAGTAAAAGCTTAAACTTCTGTGCTGCTTCTGTACAAAATATAGGCTCAATTTTTGAATTAGAGCACACCAAGATACCAATCAGCAATAGCTGATTTATATATTTAAAATATAAAATGAGGTGATAGAAGTGTAAAACATTTTCAGCCCTTACCTTCATATTCTTTGGTAATGAAAATCAAAATTATGACATCAGCATCCCTTTTAAGCCAGCTAACTGATGCTGCAGCATTATGAGTCATCTCTTTTGACACCAAACTGCTTTTTTAAAAAAAAAAATTAATGGTGAGAAAAGGTTTGAGGGTGATATGTGTACAGATCTGACTCTATTCATGGAACATAGTAAAAGCAGTAAAAGTTCAGGATTAACTCTATGAGCTAGAAAGGTAGCTGCATTTTTTCAGCTTATTGAGCTCTTTGCTGATACTGCTCATGAACACAGTGGTTTGAGATGTTCAGTCTGCCTGCTGTAACTGCGCTGGACACAGTGGTGGATTGTACATAATTATGTAAGGCACTGAATAGCTACAGAGTGAGAGCATTTAGTCAACCGATACCTGATCTAATCTGTCACCAGGAACTTAGATGTGAAGTTCTTCACGTGGCCTGTGCTGGGACCAGCAGCCGAGCAGAGCTCCTGAGCTGCTCCCTTGTTGCATTTGTCACTGTAGCTGTCACACTCTCTTGCACTTGCTGCACAACCATGGTGCTGCTGCCGCCAATGGTGATGTCCCCAAGGGTGCCATGACAGAGTGACTGCATCAGGACCACCCAATGCTGTGGGGTCAGGCTGCCCAGGACAGTTCCTTAAGGGCCTGTATCCTTTCAGGCCCTTAAAAGTAAGGTAGTTGGGAATTTTCTTTTCAGAACACAATACTTCAGTTCAAGCCCACCTTTCTGCTATGCAGTAGGCACTATGGCAGTCTCTAGCTATGGCATAACATTCTCTGCTTTGCCAAGGGTTGCTGTGGCGGATGAGGACAGTTGCCCAGTGTAGTTACATCGAATACTGGTCTTGAATGACTGTTTTGAGTTCAAAAATGGTGAGGGCAACACTCTTCAGCGCCAATGCACTGCTTGCAGAAGGTCTCTTCTCATGGTCATCATGGTTGCCACTTGCCTATAAAATTAGTTAATTCCTGGTTCCTGAGGATGACTGGACAATCAGGTCGGTGTAGCTTGATTGAACTGCCACATCATCCAGGTCTTCCATCAGTCACATTACTGCACAGCTGAGGTCTTCAAAGGTTCACATGCTGTAGAGTTTCATACTTTCTCTGTATAGGCAGGGGAAGAAGAGTTAGGAATGATGTCAAGATCTTCATTTGGGCCCACCACAAGGAGCTTTGACTGTTCAGGATTATAACTCATTCATTCTACACGTTCTTGTTCACAAGTTCAGGGATGGTGACGATTATCATTGATTATTTATGGAGTCTGTGATGAAGTCTACCAAATAAGTACGTACCATCTGTGGTTTTCAGAGCTTGGGCATCTTCACTAGTGACAAGGCAGCACTCTCTTCTCCAAAAGGACTGTGGTATTGTCAGCCTTAGCATATATGTCTAATTACTAATAGCACTGCTTGTTGCTATTCCTTCTCATTGTCCTGCTGTACAAAGTGTTGGTGAAACACACCCTGAGCTCTTGCAGATAGAGAACAGATGTATCTGCAGGTGCCTGGCTGCACCAAACAGACCACTGAGAGCAGTTTCCCAATCATCATGACAACTATAGTCACAACATAATGCCACAGTTGTCAGGTATGCATTAATGAAGGCATAGTAATGCAGCCATAATTTGTCTGTAACTTGGAATCCTTCAGGTTAGAATGGATGCTGCAGAACAGACCTGCCCAGGTATCCTTGATGCAAATTAACATTTATTATGGGTGTGCAGTGTGGGTGCTCCAAGACAAAATAGCAGTCCAAATGCATACCATTTACTATCACATAGTACAGTTGCTAACAGCAATTTATCTATACTTACTCCTGAAAGTTGCAGTGCAATATTCTTGGAGATCCTGCCACAGACTCATCTGATCATTCATATAGCACTACTTAAGCTTGGAGGTTCATCAGGGAAATGACACTGTCCTTTTGAGCTGTTCCCAGGTACTTCTTGGTCTAGGAGTTGAAGGAAGCAGTGGAACAATGAAAGTTAATATCTCTTCATCACAGGTATATGTGGAGATGGAGATATTTGTTCTTGGAAGTTTGGAGAGGTACAATTCACTGGAAGTTCCCCACACACAGCCTGCAGAGACATCCACATCTCAAGGACACTAACTTTGTATAAACACAATGGCTGGAATAATTTTAGTGACCATTGCTGAGGAGATTTGCTTGGTGAGCAGTGGTGGGTGCAGTGACAGCACCTGCTGTCAGACGTGAACAAAAAAGGAATGGCATAATCCTGGAGGAAGCCTGAAAGACCTGGCAGCAAGAGCATGGCGTGTTTTTTGAGAGCATGGTTCTATTTTTATGATGTGTAGGCAGCAGAACATCACTTGCCTGCTTACCTTCAGATGGAATTCCTTGGTAGGAATGAGCACCCCATCAGCCCTGTGACCATGCATGATGTGACTGGGTGTAACTAGGTGGTGACATGTTCTTATCAAAACAAGCACCTGTGGCTGCTGCCTTGCCAACAAAGCAGTACAAGTCGTTGTACTTTGTCCTATGGACTTCCACTTTCTTTCCTTCTGAATAAGACTGGAAAGAAAAATTTCCCTCACTTTAGGAGTTTTTGTCCAGCCAATGCCCATCACCTTTGCTGTGTGCAGTGTTAACTGGCCAGGGCTGCCACAGGGGCTTGGGAGAGGCTGGCACTGGTGGTCTGCAGCAAGGTCCCCCTGCATTCTTGTGCTGTCTTGGTGCCAGAAGAAGCCAAGATAGAGAAATAGTATCTGGACCCAGCCCAAAGAATTGTGGAGCAACTCTTAAAATCTGTAGCTCAGCATAGATTGGGAAGCAGTATTTAAATACCATCCTCGTGCCCTCATGGTTTTTTCATTTCTTGAAGTCGAATAAGCAACTCTTGTCATCTTATATGAAGACAAACTTTGGTGGATCATTTGCAGTCTCTTCTTGCTACTGGTGAGTATTCCTGTCAGCAAAGTCCAAGGCATGAATGTATCAGTTTTAAATCTTGATGAATTTCTTTGTCTCCTCTTAGGTGTATACAGCATCTGCCAAAGGTGCATGTAAGTGAGGTGGCTGTTCTAAAACTTGTTGGTCATGTGTATTTATAAGGTGATGAGGCAGGAATGTGGGTATTAGGATATGACCCAAGGGGTTGGAAGGGTGTGTAAAGTCACAAGGGCTCATCCTTTGCAGGATAAAAAAGCCCGAACAACTGGGATCTTGCATGGGTTGTGCCCATGCAAGGGCAGGGCCTGATGTGAACTATTCTCTAGTCTCTGCCCATATTTCTCCACCTGAGAAACAATATGTTTTGTCCCAGAGCAGAAGTTGAGTGTAAAGTTATACCATTGTAGTGGTTGCAGCAGCATACGGTGCTGTCTGAAATGGCTGCTTTGAAACTGGTAATTGCTTTCTGTTACTTGTTCTTAATACACTGAGAGAAACTAGATGTTGTGTACCTTTTTTGCAAATAAACAAGATTGCATCAAAGACATATTGATCCTATCAATTTCTCGTCCTGACATAATCTGCAGGATCTCAAGTATAGGCTGGCTGCTTTAAGTAGCAGATAGAACACTAATGGAAGCTAATTTAAATTTCTATTTGCAGCCCTCATTTAGAGGTGCATAACCTTCAAACATATACCCTATATTTCAAATGTAAAGTTAAATAATAATTTGCTGGATGAACTACTGTCTGAAAATACACAACACACTCCCCTTTTGGAATGATGCACAAAGATCTTCTGTGCTTTGAAATGATTCATAGCAGATGGGAAATAAAAGGATCATTAATTGATTCTTCAAATAAAAGATCACAAGTGTAACTGAGAGATCCTGTTGGAAAATCAAATGGACTAAATTTTCAGAGAAGCTTGTTCTTTTCACAGAAGTCTGCTGGCAGAATTTCAAATCAGCTTGATGATTAAACAGCAGGTCATTTAAAGTGTGTTTATGTTAACAAGCCTCTGTAACCATATTCATACTAGGGCAAGGCAAAGTACACAAAGTGTTTGTTAGATTATAATTAGATTAGATTACTTTCCATTATGTATTGGTAAAGGCAGCCCATGTGCTGGCTCATGTTTCAGGTTACTCTGCTGTTCCTGTTCGTGCAGCAGTAGCTCTGGGTAAGGTATCTGCATGGCAATATCTAAAAGCCCTGCCCAGCAGTTTTAAGTAGTGACCCTTGCACTTTTTTGGCCCATGATCCCGTACATGCCACCACCCATTCTTATTATCAAACTTTAAACTGAAAATAGGACAAAAGTGATATGAGCAATGCAAGGTTATATTTCATAAGAGTCTTTGGGCTCCTTGCAAGCAAGTCTCTAGATTATGCTGCATTAAACTATATTCTTATTAGTCTATCAGTGTCACTGAAGAAACAGACCTGTAATTCATAACACCAGAAATTGGTGTTAACTACTTTGCAGTGCTCAAACCTGTTTATTACCCTTACCACCCATACTTTTTGCAGGCTGTGTATTCTCATGTGTTCCATTTCTGAAACCCCAGAAATGCTATTTTTTTACTTCTATTTCATTAATTCACTTGATATGTGTGAAGGGAAAGTAGTCACACTGACACTTCTGAAGAATGTTTTAATCCTTTGTTATTACATAATTTCTTGATTTGTTTTTATATGCTGTGGTTTAGCACAGCAGTATGGACCCACCCACTGCATCTCTCTGTACTTAAATCTCTCTAATCTCTCTGACACTTATATGACATTTTTCCATTTTCTTGGATAATGAATAATTTACAGTGTGGGCCTGTAAAGAATCTGTGTTCGTATTTAAATATCTGCAAAATTTACAGATTCACTTTTTCATTTTGAAAGCTCTAAGGTAATAGAAAATGTTTCATGTACCGGTCTTCCTTCTTTTTCCATAAAGAGCTTTTGTTCTGCAGATTGCAAAAACACTTTATAAACTGTAACTTGTAAGATATATGACTTTTTAAGGTGGTTGGTTGTTCCACTGTCAGAAATTAAGAATGAAATAGAAAAACTATGCTTAAGCCAAGCCTGTGTGTAATATTAAAAGGGATATATGGATATATATTCACCTATGAGTATAGGTGGGGTCAGAGGAATCTAAATCTTACAAGTCTGGGAAAACATTTTTGAATTTACTGTGTATTATGAGTTCTGATGTTAAACTGTTTTGTCCCACACTAGGAACAGGAAAAGCTCTTTTAAGATTAAAAATTGAGGTGTCAAGGTACAACTGAGAGATACATCAACTATATGAATTTTAAAGATCCAGTGAGAGGAGAGAAGGCATTTAAACTCCCATATTGCCAGAGGATGCAGTCAGACAAACCAAGGAAGCAAGTGCTACAAAGGTCAGCCCAGCTTGGAGTTACAGAGATTGGGGTCTGAGCTCAGGGAGGAAAAGATGCAGAGATAAAGGCACACTGTAGGCAAAGAGGAAGAAAACAAGGAATAGCCTGGAAGATGCAAAGAGGCTACTCTGTCCATCATGCAAGTAATGTGAAACACAGGCAATCTCTTTTTAAAATCTTGTCTGGAACTACATTTTTCTTGCTTCATGTCTTCCTCTCAACATGCTTTTTTCCTTGCATGAGTTGTGGAGTTTGGGGGAAGTAGAGCATATTCTTTACAATCTGTTACAAATATGAAGCTTAGAACCAGTCCCATTCCAGTCATCTCAGGAAAGATCAGCACAGCATTGCAGTCAGTCACCTGAATTCAAGTAGTGTTCTGAGAACAGCACGTAGAAATGGTTAATGACTTAGAGCTTCATATGGCAACCAGGGATCAATATTTACCATCCAAATACGGCTTTCTTGGAAATTGTTATTGTCTTGGTAATGAGATATTTTGAAAATCATCTGGGCTAAATTAATCAGATAGTGGTAACTGCTTAATTCCACTGAAGTGGTACTGCACGAGTATTTACTGAATGAAGATGTCAACTAACAATTTTATATTACTTATTAAAGCCAGACCCACGATCTGTTTAGAACTTTTACCAAAATTGTACTGTACTTTTGCCAAACTGTACTTCGTGACTGCCACTATGATGCAAAGAGAAGGTTTTTTTCTTGAATATTTATATGTATCTTTATAATATAATGTAATTTCAATACAATATTGTTTCTTACAAATTGATTCATTGTTCTGAACTACTGATCTGGTATAAGCTAAGCTGTTATCGCTGCCTGATCACACAGCTCCCTACATCATTTTGATCTCTTTCCAGCTTTGAAGTTTCATCTTCCTTGTCGAGATCTGGAAGTGCAGCTCAGGATGTTTGTGCCCACAAATGAATAGTAGGTAAGTGCCATCTTAATGTCTCAGAGAGCAATGTATTTTAATACTTATCCATTTAAATTCAGTGTGTAAAACTCAAGCTACACACAAGATACATTGAACCTTCATGAAAACTCTAAAAGGCAAATTGTTTATTGTGCTTCTAAGGTGGAAGCAGATGTTTAAGAAAATGTTCCTCAAGAACAAACTTGATGCTTCAGTGCTGTGAAGCTTTACTATATTGGTTGTTGGTGTTGAAAGTCAGGAAGTCTGATGTGAGCAGCATGACTTAGAACAAGGTCTTTTTTCAGACTGGGTGCTTTAAGTATGAAATTTGTCATTATGTAGCCAGTCAATTACCTGATTTTCAAATGCTGTTTACACAGGATTCTATCTGGTCTGCTTTAGGTGTTCATTCCATTAAAGACACACTGGAAAGCCAGACCTTAGAAGCTCTTTGGGGGCACAACACATAGGATGCCTTCAGGCACAGCATCTTACAAGCTCTGTCAGCCTCTTAAGGCCTTTTTAACACCCTGCATGTTGTCTTGTGTCATGATCCAACATACCCCCATGAGATAACTGATACTATATTTATCTGAAACTATCTCAGAACAAAGTAAAGGAATTAAGAAACCTCTGCCAAGGCACAGATCCTGCTAACTGATTAACCACTGTCTCAAACTGTTTACTTAGAGTGCTGCTTGAGACCCCTATGAAGTCAGTCTATACACTTTATTAGGCATCCTGATGGAAAAAAAAAAGGAAAAGATGCTTTAAGGTTCTAATTACCTCCATACTTTTCCCCAGTCATTCCAAACATGCCATGGTCATGATAGCTGCAAGAATTTTTCAGGAAGTTCTAGAAATAGTTGGGGAATTTAAACCTCACTATGCCTCTTAGCTTAGAGAAATAGCATCCTGCATTTCCAACTATTTGTGGGCAAGTCATGTAGCAAAAGCTGGGTTTTACTGTGAGCATCTCACTGGTTTTATTGCCTATCCAAATTTAGTAATTAATAAAAAAAATAAAAGCACAATCTATTACAGATATTGTACAGCAAATACAGTGATTTAAAGTTAAAACTCAGAACATTAATCAAATTGAATTTTTCCTGTTACTGTAGCAAATCTCCACAGGAAGGTGAGTCTTGTCTCACTGTGCTTATACAAAGTTAATGTGTAAATTATTCACTTTCTAATCAGTTGTCATCAATAGTATATGTTTATTCACAAGTAGGAGCAAGAGGCCCAAGTGCTTCTGTATGGGATCTACAGCTGACATTCCAGCATTACTGATATTCATAGTCCTGTAGCTTGTTAGCCACTTGCTGTCATGTGAACCAAAAACTTTTAGGGACCTAAATGTTTGCTGACCAAATCTCCTAGGTACTTTCATTTCTGCTGCTGGGCACACGATTTATGAGAGGACGATCAGGCTTTCCCAACATCAGAACAGGGCATTTGTGACAAAATACTTAGCTAAAGACAGGTTTTCTTCCAGACTAATTTTCTGAACTTCAGACTGTCTTTCTAGTCCAAGTAAACTAGTAGTTCATTAGTAGCAGGCCATCAATCCTACAGATGATTTAGATGGTTTTAAAGATCCTCGGAAATACAGAAAAATTATCTGAAAGAATCTAATAAACACATCTGGAATATTTTATTAGGATCATTGTATTTAGTTTGAAATCTCTTGAATTAATCATTCCAGACTGGTGTTAGAAATTCTCTTTACAGTAAGAATAGGGTATGTTAAGTTGATACTTATAGGCCTGAATTAGTGATCAGCGGCATCTCTATATCCAACTTCTTGTTATCTCTTAAGCGTGTTTTTGGAATTGTTCATGATTTTGTAATGAAGACTATTTTTGTACAGCATACAGAGTGATAATGTAAAAGCAGCAAAGAAGAGCCAGAAAGTAGTAAGTTGGAGTTCAGAAATAGACTGTTTTCTTTTGGCTGACAATGTTATATAAAGATTTCAGAATTAAGAATAGAGACAAAGTTTACTTTAAATTTCAGTGCACCCAACTTAACCTTTCAGAGCTCTGCAAATTCTGGGAAACATTTTGGACAGACTAGGATAAAAGTAACATTTCAGTCACAATATATCATTGCTCTTCAGGTTAATTACAAAATGATTGGTCACAGGTATAAATTTTCTCACTATTCCACTCCACTCTCCAGTCGTGAGAGTGAAACTTTGTACTATCATAGTTACAGAATAAAAACTGCCGACCTTTAACAGAAAAGTTAACTTTTGCTAGAAGTAACATCTCATTATATATTAATTTAGTAACTATTAATTTAGTAACTCTTTTAATACTTCAACTCAGTGGAAGAATAGCCACAGGAATAGTCACTTCTGCATAATTTCTATTTGAAAACCATAATACTTGTGAAATGTATTACAGTGGCACTTTCTGAATATAGGTCTCTCTTTACCGTAAGGTTGCCTTGCTAATGACTTTGCTTACAATGCTTACAAATGCTTACAATTTGCCTTGCTTACAATGACTTTGGAAAACTGAATACTCTAGAAAATTAATATTTATCAGGGAGGAAATAAATGTTTCTTACATTATAGGGCAGTAAAATTTTGTGGTTTATCCCAAATATTAAAGTTCATGTCTCCAGCTATTTTGTTGAAAGATTCAGTTTGCATATAGTCATAGAATGTCAGTAAAATAACCCTTTGAATTTGATCTCCCTTTTGAACTACAACTTAGAATTTCCCAGTGATAATAACTTTGGTGGAACACAAGGAGGAAATGTAAGCTAAGTTCTCCTGAAAATCAGAATTTCAAATGGGAGAGGTGGGGGGGGAGAAGGCACTTTGTGTTTGAATTTATAATTATCTTTCTATTAAGGATGAAAAGATGCTTTTGACAGGAGGGTTGAAATCTCTCCTTCCCCATGTGCTAAGAAGAATAATTCGATGCAACAGACTCAGTATTAGTAATATTTCTGGAATGGCAGAAGGTAAGTAAACCTAACAGCTCTCTGTGCAAAGTGATTCTATTTTAGATTCATAACTATGTGGTTTTTGTTTGTAAAGGATTGAAGAAATATCAAAAGCACCAAAGTAAAACAGAAGAAAATGTTATGTTCTTTGGTGTTTTTGAAATCATATTATAAGCACCTTACTCTGTTTTGTAAATCATAAAGATCTATCAGAGGAAATACATCATCCTACCTGAGTAATGCACATGGACTTTGTTTTCAGTGTTTACAAAGCATCCCTCAGCTTCCAATTGAGAATTGATGGATGTAGAAAATATTTTTTAGATCTTTAACCAAATCTGTGTTTTCTTGCATGTTATTATCACATTTGTAAGATGTTCTTCACTATATTCTTCACAGAGACCTTGCTTTACTTAGCACATTAGATATGCTCTGGGGAAGAATTAGAGACATATTGTTACAGGAGTGGTTTTCTGCTTCATTTGTTGCAGAAGGTGAAGATTATTGGGTCAGCAAGGCTGGGAATTATAAGGGAGAGGGAAAAATTAGTTTTATACTCAGATAACTGATTGCATTCTGGAAAATTGATTTCTGTCTTGCCTTTCATAGCTAAACTTTTACAGAAGCAGAGAAGTCTGCCATTGTTCTGATCAACTTTAAAAAATAACGTAAACAAAAATACAATGGCAAATAGCTGATTAACAAAGCTGTGTGTACAATAGTAGCACTACTATAAAATATGTTAAAAGTCATATTTTAGAACTGTAGTGAGCCTTGAAATTGTGGGGTTTTTTTCTATCAGTTCCTAAGTTGAAAAATACTAATGGAAGACATTTTATAATGTTAATAATTTGCAGTTTGCCCCAGCCAAATTTTTGAAATTAATTTATTGCTGCAGTAGTTTTAAATGTATTAATTCTAACATTTTTAGAAGTATTGTTGACATATAAAACAAGTTGATGAACAAACAGTTTCATTATACAAAAAGAACCATTGTAACAAATTGTCTTATGTTGTTGTTAACCAATTCTTTCTTACTGTCCTCATTGTCATTCACCATAGAAGTTAAAAGTTCTTTCTAAACTTCTCTGAACTCAGACATGAGTGTGTTGAATTACTGCCTGGGTTGGTCAACACATCCAGCTCCACTACATTGCTTGTGAATACATTCCTAATGATGGCTCCATAATGCAAGTGAATCCATCAGGAGATATGAATTGTATACAAAAAGAAAAGTTAGCTATCAGGAGGAGCAATAAAGTTCTCAAAGTGTTATAATGAAGCTTCCTGAGTTTATCGAGTATTTGCCTGGAAATTCAGCCTCTCATCTATAACTAGTATATGAAATTCACTGTTGTCAGTTGAATGCCCTGACTAAACCCATAATTTTAAGAACGCATTAGTATAACCAGTAAAGCAGAAAGTGGATTTCTCATGGATAGCAGGGAATGAAATTGAGGGGTAACCGAACTTAATGTTTTATTCAGTGGTTAATGTAGTATGTTTATTTAGCAAAAATATTTTTCTGTATTTAGCAAGAATCTCATTCTGTATTTAGTAACTTTTGCTAGTAATAAAATGAATTTTTGTGCTGACTACTCCCAAGAGAGCAGTTTGTGGACAAATTCAGTATGCAAATGCATGATTACCTCAGCCTTTGCTTTGCATTTTTCCATCAGGAATAGAATTCTCTTTGGATTTCTTTGTTAGCTTTAGTCAAGAGTAAGATCTGGCTTATTTTCTACAGCCTTTGAAGGCAGCTCATTGGTTTCAACTAAATTATTGCCTCTTTGATGACAGACTACTGCAGTATTTAAGAAAGTGAGTGCTTCTGTGCAGCCTCCTACTCGCCTGCCTGATATCAGACAGTAATAACTCTTCAAGAGAGAATCAGTACAGCATTTAGGGATTATTAATTGCTGGGTTTATACACCCCAGACCAGCTGTACTCCAGATTTCCCCCCATTATTTGAACAGTTGATATTTCCATGCAGGAAAGTTTAAATGGCATTGGTATTAACTGCTACTGTTAAGAAAATAAATTTTTTGCTCAATGGGACCTTTCTTCAGTGGTATTCATTGCAGAAATCTTAATGTTTTTAGAAGCTATTTCATAGTAGTAGTCAAGAACCTTTTAAATCAAAGTTGTTTCCAAGTGAAGAAAGTGTAGCAGTTCTGTTTTAGTTTGGTTTTTTTCTAAGCAGAAGTTAAATCAGAACTTTAATTAGAAATTACTGAGATTCAGTGGACAGTCAAAAGTTTATTCCTGAGCTGTAATCATATCTCTTTAATTGCAGCCCATATTAAAATTCCCTAGCCAAGAAATTTTAAAGAATGTGCTATGAACATCAAGATACCAGGAGTTTACTTTTGGATTGATTTATATCTTGGTGTGGTGAAAAATTATTGTGAAAGTGTGGTGTGATAGCATTTCTTTGTCTCTGTGTTAACATTTGCAAATAAAGCATATTCCTATATGCTAATGTCCCCAGTTAGAAAGGAAATTATGTTTATATATAAATGAATAGAAATGTTTCTTAATTATGGTGTCTTCATGTTCTGCTATTACCCATGTCTGCCAACTGTTTTAGCTGTGAATGACTTCACATATAGAAGTAGGCCTAGCTATGATTTTTAAAGCATTTCAAGAACTTTGGTCTAATTACAGAGTTCTGAATCAAAATTTTCCTTGAGGAAATTCTTATAAACCATCTAAAGAAATTAATACAGAAAAGTTATTGTTTCACAAACAAAAAGCTGAATTAATAACCAGCCATTCCTACCTTCCACAATTTAAGGTTATAAACAGGCCAATGTTGTGATTTTGCACAAGTCCCTGGCTGATGACTTTGAGAAGTTCTGCCATGCAAACAATGGACCCCTGCCACTGCTGTACAGAAGTCAACCAGGTGACTGGAAATGTCCTTCCCTGAGTAGTGATTCTGATATCAGGTAACTACAGACCAACTCTGCTGACCAATATTCTGAAGTGAATGCTGGTGGTGATTAGGAGAATTTGAGGAAACAGCCTGGAAGATTTTGAACAATGTTCTTTTCTTGGAGTTATACCTTTGAGTGAAAGCCATGTGTTAAACATAAACAGCCTGATTATCTTGTTCTTGAGCCACATGTTATGATAATTGTCAGTATTACAAGTTATTTCTCTAATCCAAAGGTGAAATTTTGTGTAATTTTTAAATATTTTGCAGTCTGAACCTGCAGAATTCAATAATAGGGTTTTATATTTGTTTTATTTACTAAACATGGCCATTGTGTCTGCATGATACTTGTAGAGTCTCTGAAATTTGAAATATGTACTCCTATGGTAAACACTAAAAACAAGGTTTAAACCAGCTCCCTAATTTTTGAAAGCCTGAGACAAGATATGCATGAGGGGCCTTTACCTATAAAACCTAAAAAATCTCAAACTCTAACATTCTGTCTGCCGGCTTGGTTTTGTGCAGAATAAGATGTTCTGTGGGTTTTGCCTGTGTTTGTTTCGTTATTAGTCAGAAAGAACAAAATGGATAAAGCAGGCTGCCTCGTGTGGTTTCACACTGGGTTTATGTCAATTCAACCAATTCACCTTGTTTTTAAAAAATGTGACAAAGCTGTGATAACTTCTTATTTCACTAGAACTGACTGCCTACAGTACAGAAAATATGAGCATGGAGCTTGTACTGGATCACTGAAAAGCCTTAAGGAGTATTCTGAACAACTCAAGGACATGGTGACTTTTTATTTAGGCTGCAGCTTCTCTTTTGAAAAAGCAGTCCAAAAATCTGGCATTCCTATCAGAAACGTCGAGCAAAAATGTAATGTAAGCATGTACAAAGTAAGTATGTGCATACACACATAATCTTTGTTGTAATTTTGCCTGTGACTTTTGTCCATATTCAGATTAGGTGCATATGCTAATTGTTCAAATCAGAACTTTTTTTCTCTACCTACACAGTAACTTAAGGCATATGCTACTGCTGAGCACATGAAAATATTAGGGTAAAATAGGGTAAAATATTCCCAGCCTCAGGTCAGTGTAAGGCCAATCTCCTTTTTTATTCCTTTTTCATGACAAAGCTTTCCCCGTTTCCTGTGGCAGCCATTTCTTGTGGGCTCTGTCCTGGTTTGCCCTCTCTGTTTCACCCAGTGATCCATGCACTGTTCTGATCGTGTCTTTACGTGTGTCCTGCTCTTCATACCACCTCCTGTGTGCAGCTGGTGTATTCCTTTTATAAACCATGACAATAGTGGCTTCTTCTGCATGACAGCCATGTTGTGGATTTTTCCTGTGGCAGTAGAGCCTTTGAACTGCACTTTTACTGCAAACCCAGGCCTCTGAGCCAGAAGATGTTCCCAAAGACTTGAGGTGTCTACCATAGCACTGAAAATTATGACTGTGCTCAAAAAGTTTGTGGTGTACATTTTGATGATAACAGAGCCTTAGAATAATTCTGGCTCCAGTAAATAACCCCCTTAATACTAAGAACATTGAAGTATGCATCTGCATGCCTATTTCATTTAGTTCAGATGCTGTGCTACTGGAGAAAGGTTATTGTTGTTTTCAGTGTTATTGTTACACAATCTGTGCTATGCTCCTGGTCAAAATGAAGGTGCAAGCATATCTCAAACGTGAGTCCTTCTACAAAGCTTAAAGAAAAAAAATACAACTATGTATCTGCTTCTAGAATTTCAGGATTAGGAAAATTTTATAGTTTATAGCACATTAATGCTGTGAAGAACTGCACAGTGTGTTTCTTCAGTGACAGGTGTGATTATTATTATCATTATAAAGGCTTTAAATGAACGTTTTCTTGACAGCTCTAGCTCTCTGGATGTCTTGTTTATGTTCAACTGCAACTCAGAAATCTGACATTTTTTCCTAAAAAGCTGACCTGCTTTCTTTCTAAATAGAAAAGGTGCCTTAGCCTCCCAGTTGGTGAGGATGATGAATTCCATAGAGCCTTTGTAGAGGCATGAACTATTTGTATGTATGGAAGTGTCATACAGCTTCTGTACAAGAGGACACTGCCATCAGCAGTTGCTGACCCTGGCATGTTGCAGGGCACTGTATTCAACTACAGCGGGTAGAGTCAGTCTAAGTAGATTTGTAGGTGTGCCATAATTTTCTATTAGCTTTTTCACCTTGTGTAAGGAGAACACACCATTGTTTTTTAGACAATATTCAGCATACTGAGCTCATCTTGCTGTGTGCACCAAAACAAGGAATGCATTAAGTTAAAAATTTTAGTGATCTATATGATGGAGCTGAATTATGGAATCTTAAAGGAAAAAATACAGGATCCCAAGAATTTTTTTCAAAAGGATTTAAAATAAGTGTTAGAATGCAGCCTTTCTAAATTCAAGTGCAGCACAAAGATTTAGTTTTTATTTATTCTGACATTTTAGAAGTATTGTTCAATATTCCTGCTAACACTGGATTCTTTTGAACTGCCAGACATCTGTGCCTTGCTACAGCATTTCTATGTTTCACTGCAACTTAGTAGTCACAATGAGACCTATTCCTGAAAGCAAGCTGGGAGCAGCTGTGGTAGCAACGTCTGAATTAAAAGAAGCCCATGGAGCACCAATTCACATCGGTGACCCTGGTCAGTGCTTCTCATTTCTCATTCTGCGTGCACCTGACTGTGTATACAACTGAAGGGGGAAAGCATGGGAGGTGGTAGGACAGAAATACCTGCACCACTCAATCTCTTTTAATTCTTTCTAATGGTCACAAACCTGAATATAAAAGGAAAAAGGAAGGAAGAAAAAAAAAAAGAAAAAAAAAGAAGGTTTTGAGTGAGCTGAACACACAGATTTCTTAGATAAAAGATAGCTGTCGGATATAGATAAGTTATCTGGCGGGGTGGTTTTGGTAAAAAGTGTAATCACATTTTTCTGAAATGTGTGCAGTTTCATTTATGTGAGTACTTTCTTGCTGTCAGAGATTCCAGTGACAGGATAGCAATGACTGACAGCATGGGGAGAAGTATATGTGGAGGCATTTTGTGCCTTAGTGGTTGAATGTGAAAGTAAATACTGCATTATTTAAAAAAACACTGAAATAGCATACAATGAGCACAACACTTAAGACAAAATGAATAGAAATATGACAATATTTTGTTTTACATCTAGTTTGAACAAAAATGAAAAAAAAAATAGAGGAGGTTGTTTGAAAAAGAACAAAACCAAACAAACACCTGTAATATGAAGATAGATTGCAATAATTTCCCCCCTGCTGTCATAAGTTTGGTAATCATGGGCTACATACACAGAAGGATCACATTGCAGGGCATGGAAGAAGATGTCATTGGTGAACACAACATTCCAGTAATGCACTTGGGTAACATATCTGAGTACTTAAGCCTGACAAACTAGTAATAAGTCTTTACAAAAAAGCAAATTAACATATATACAGATTATATAAACTAATTTCAGAAAAGAGAGTGGTATATTAAAGCATCTGAAGAATTTAAAACCAAAGGAAGATAGCAAGTGCTTAGAATGACCCAGATTATTACAAGTAGGTGTTAAAATAAAGCAAAAGACAATTTAATGAAAGGCAGCTAAGAGTGAGATGTATTTATCTAAGACAGAGTGGAAAAGAGAGATTGATCATTTCTCTAGCTAAAGAATGTAGGAAGTTAACACAGTAGAAAATGTGTTCTAGAAAGAACTCATTTTGCATTGCAATCATTTATTCTTGTTTGCCAGTGCCATGAATAGAATTCTTCTGTTGATCCAGAAGATTTATGTTATCTTGGAAACTCAGCATAGATGTCTAAACTGCATTTTGTTGCAGGAATAAGGTAAATACATTTTTACTGGTGTTATTGAGTACAAAAAAAGGGAAATCAAGTCAGTTCAGGCTCTGAGGATGTGCACTCAAAGGCAAACTAAATGTTCCACTTTAGGGGGACTTGACACTCTTGAACTCTTAACTCAGTGTCATTGAATGATGTTTGGGGTCTGCACCCCCAGCTTTGCAGTATTACTGCTTAATCAGAATAGCTCATGATTTCAATTTTGATCTATTCTAGGTCTGCTGGGAATACAAGATCTTTCTAAACCAGACTATGGAGATCCAGTTCACTTTCACCCTGGTGACATTCCAGTGTTTTGGGCCTCAGGAGTAACAGGAGTAGAAGCAATTATCAACTGCCGTATGTGCTGCTTAGAGACTCTCTTTAAATTATCCCTCAATCTCTTTTCTCTCTCTCTCTCTGTTTTATTTTACTTTTTTTTTAAAAGATACTGAATTGGCTGATTAGCAGGCTTGATTTTAGGGGAAGATAAAAAACACCAAACACCCCAAACAACAAAAAGACTTTGGCAGGAGAATTTTTGTTGTGAAATACAGGTCTACTTTAAAGAAAATTCTTACTGAAATTTCACCACTTTTGTGTATTTTAAATGTTTAAATCTACAGCTCTGGCAACATCAAAACATCTTTTTTAGCATTATAAAAAACAAGAAGTTTAAAGGCGTTAATTTTTAAGCTCCTTCCTTTTAAAACATTATTTTGTACTACATTGAAGTAAAGCAATAATAAAGGCAAAATAAGGAAAAAAAAAAAGGAATAAAAAGAGAGAAGCCAGAAATCTTTCCAAAATGTTGTCAAGAGCTAGCAAATTGATTGACATGGAAAAGGGTTCTGAAGTGTCTCATGGAGAATGTTGAGCTTTTAGTTTTCTCCAAAATTAAGTAAATGTGACACACTTTACATAAGTGAAACTTTTTCTTCTGTACAGTTTTTCTGCACTGTGTGAAGTCATTTATATACTTCTCTAGGTCACTAGTGTGAAATGAAATAGTGTATTTTCATTCTTACTGAAAAAGAATCCTAAAAATCATAGGCAATATATTTGGGAGACCCCTGGGAGGTTGTGTGCTTTATCCTTCTCTCCTTGCAGGCTCCTTGTGGTTTCTTATAGATGTTTATCTGAACTTCTCTCAACACCTGCTCTAATATGTTCAGCTCTAAGAGTCTTCTTGCTTTCTTACACAGATTCTGTTTTCTCCGGTCCCAAATCCATGCTGAAAATCCTACTCTTTGCTGGGTTCTTCAGCAAACCTATTTTCATCTTCCTCATGCATCCTTGTTGTAGGGAAAAGAGAGGGAAAATTTGCCAATGTTCTCCAATCTGTTGCACAAGTGGCTGTCTATCCTGCTCTTGCCTGGAAGACTTTCACTTTTGTTTATTTCTACATTTTTTATATTAAAACCAGTAGTCATTAGTACATTCCAGGAAGTTTTTGGATAGTTTTTATTTTGCTGTGCTACTTTCTCAACTAAGACATTTAAAATCTGCCACACCACCAGTACTCATGCTTTAGATGAACCTGCTAGCTTGTCACAAAAAAAACCTGTCTGCTCACAGGGTTTGGTGAGGTAGTAAAACCTCAACAACCATGATCACCAGGTGCTTTAAAGAGTCCCAACAGCTGTAGCTCAAACCAAGCAAATATGTACTTAGTAAAGAATCATCTTCTCTATTGTCAGCCTCCTAACAAAGAAAGTTTTGCTTGTTTAAGTATACCAGTTATGATTTACCTAACAATGTACCAATTTTGCCAAATCAAGTGTTACCTGGATTCAGACTTTTGGAGTCAATATAAAGACAGGAAATATTTTCAGCTTAGGAGACTACTGTGCTGTTTGGTCTAAAGAAGCTTATTTTTCTCCAGGGTTTTACTCGTATTTCCTTTGCTAATGTTTACTGGTCCACTTCTGTCATTACTCCTTTGAAATTAAATTGCCAGTTTATATTGCCATGGTTTAACCCCAGCCAGCAGGATCAGGGAGAGAATTGGAAGAGTAAAAACTGGAAAACTCGTGCATTGAGATAAAGACAGTTTTGTAGGAAAAGCAAAAGTCATGCATGCAAGCAGAGCAAAATAGGGAATTAATTCACTGCTTCCCATGGGCAGGCAGGTGTTCAGCCATCTCCAGGAGACCAGGGCCCCATCACAGATCATGATGACTTGGGAAGACATATGCCATCACAACAGACCTTTTGGAAGGGTACCAGAGTTCCATTTTTAGGTTGCCTCAAGTTTAGACCAAAGAGGACAATTGTGGAAAAAACTGATCTCAACTACCCACATGAGCTTTTTAAAAGTGAAAAAATTTTCAGATGTACATGTGTACATTTCTTTCTCAAAATGTGTTAATTGTTCCAATGTAACTTAAAATATCACCTGTTTTTGTAAGTGTCATCAGGCAGGGACTCTGTTGTTATATTAAGCAGCTTTTTGAAATTTTATTATCCTTATAATTTGTTACATTGCAATAATGACATTTAACTGAAGTATTTTCATTCATTTTAGGAGCTCCGTTAGCTTTTACTCATTCTCCTGACTGCACATTCATTACCGACCTAGAGAAAGGTAATGTCAGAGCCTCAGGAGGAGTCCCACAGGTCCACTGCATCTCTCAAGATCCTCTGCATTTCAGCATTGTGTCAGCAGAAGCAGCCCAAAAGATAAAGACTCTAGAGACCCTCATTGGAATAGATCCAGATATAAACAAAAACTGTCTCACTTTAATGGATTTTTTGTGGGGTAGATACCAGCTATCTGCCTTTTTAGATATTTTAAATTCAAGAGCACAGTAAGACTCTAAAGGGGATTTTAAGAATTCTTTATAGAATACAGTGAGTTTATATAACTACGTCTTATATTTTCTGTTACTGTAGTTAATATCAGAGTCTGGGCAAAGTCATTCATTGTGGACAATGGAATGTCTGATCTTGATGACTATATGGTCCCAAAGTACACAGAAGCAGACTGGAGAGCCCACAGGGAATAAGAACTGTTACTGAGTAAAACTGAAATTGGAATGTAGTACAGGGTACCTCAGTTTGCTGGTAACAGCTACATGGGTATTCACTATGGAGTAAATAGCACATTTCTTTACATATATTCATGACTACTGTGGTCCTACCAGAGAATTCCAGTAGCTGCATGTGTTTTTCAAACACCGCTCTCTGACGGGTAGAATTATATTAATTTCTGCTGACATATCCATCACTGAGGTGTTATATGATGGACCAAAGTGACCAGGTCACCACAGAAGATTGAATGGTGAGGCTGCCTGTGTGTGCAAGGAAGAGAGGGAAGTAAAGGCACACTGAGTAGTGCAACCATTCCTAAAATACACACTGAGTTAGTCCCCTCTGGCTGCTGTAAAGTCTGAGCTCAGTGTGCCATAAATTTTCTGAAATCCTCTGTAGGCAGTAGTGGAAAACAGCTTACGCCCAGCACTCCCAAGCTCTGGGTTTGGGCTGTGTGCATACATTTGGGTCTGTTTATTTTTACTCACAAGGCCTCTCCTTTCCCACTCTCTGGAGCTGGCTTGGCATGATGCCATGCTCTGCAGAAGTACAGGACCTAACTTAAAAGTTAGCTCATTTTATTGCTAAAGGAGAGTACAGTACTTTGTCTCAGTTAATATACCCTACTTCTCAGAGACCTGTATTCTGCTTATGTTAACTTTAAGTTTTCTGAACTTTTTTCTCTGACCGTTATCTGTGTATTGCCTGTGTATTATTTAGGAAGAACAGAGGGAGAAATGCCAAAGGGGAAATTGAGAACAAAAAGAGGAAAATGTGGGGGTCAGGGGAGCAAGAAGGATGAATCTATGAGGAGACTGGAAAACACCGGTGAAGACTTACCTCTGTAAGCCCATCATGCTGGTACTCATGGTTTTCTTGAGTACTAGCAAATCGAAACAAGTGAGCTGTGAAGTTTTTGCCAAGTGACAGGGAAGGAACATGGGATAGGAAGTGTTTGAACAATGGAAGCCATACCCAGATAATAGTGTTGCCTATTTAGGGACTGACCCATGAGAAGAGACTTCTGTTAATATTCACCTGTTTCTCAAGGTCTGATAACGTGGTTCTCTGCTACATGAAGTGTTACAAGAACTTCTGGTAGTCACCTGGATACCACTGTATTAACTGAGTTTATGAAGTCCCCAGGAAACTTACAATGTCTCTGAAACCTCACTTCTGAGGCTGATAATTTAATTAAGTGAAATTTATTTGGGAATTAGCTCTTCCCGAAGGGGATGGAGTTAAATAGAGACAAAGGATCAGTTTATACATCTGAAGTCTGCATCAAAACTTCTGTAAGGTCTGGGATGCTTGAGTTGCAGTCTAGCTTCAGTAGCTAAACATGGTCTAGCAGGACTGTCAAAGCAAAACAGAGGGCCTGAGGAAAGGAAACAATATGCAGTAAGCTCTCAGAAAAAGCTATTTACACTTATACCTAGAAATGCTAGATATAATAATTTTCAAAAGCTGACATTCTTAACCTGGAAGCACAGCTCATTATCTTAATTACTCATATCCTAGATCTTCTTAGGTTTCCTGAGGAAATTACCCCGTTCCTGCCTTGACAACAGGTTTTTCTCTCTTTTGTTTTTAACTCATTTTATGTCACTAAAGTATGTACTTTCACCCAGATGGAAACTTCAGAAGGAGAGCGATCCATTGAAGCGCACTGCTCTCTTTAAAACCTCTTGTCTGGGAGAGCGGCATAAGGCACCCGCAGCGCCAGGGTGAGCTGCTGGGGCCCTGCCTGGCCCTGTCCCACGCGGGCTCCGTGCCCATCACCACGGGATTTCCCACCCACTGGAGCCACCAGCCGCCCGAGGAGAACGACGGCCCCCGGGAGCCCTCGCCATCGCCATCGCAGCCATGCTGCAGGCCTTGGGGAAACGGGTTGCCATGGTTACAGACCAGAGAGCCATGGATCTGAATAAAAAGATTATTGAAGAAGCTGTTCAACTGGGTAAGAGACATGGGTTTTTCAGTTTTTTATCTTGCTAATTTGAGCCAAGGTTTGCTTCAATTTTAGTCTGTCACTTAGTACGGGACATTTTTTTTTCCAGCGAATGAATCAGAATTCATCCTCTAAGCTCTGCTCATCATTGTTGCAATGACATTTTGTTAACCTAGCTGGCAACAAGTTAATGTGTACATATCTGGGTACCAATTCTGGTACCCAGAATACCAATTCTGGCTTGTGATAAATTCTTGATGTCTGTTCTTATTCTTGTAGACCTGTTTTCTACTTCAAGGTCCCATTTAACAGCGTTTACATCTAAACAAGTATAGGGATATAGGGAGCTCATCAAGAACTGTGTAAAGACTTTGAATTCTTACTGTTCTAGCAATTTTACTTTTTTTTTTTTTTAAGTTACTCAAAGATACATTATTAAAACAAAAAAAAGTAGTATCTGAATTTCATTTTGCTTTCCCGTAGGAATCCTGAAGAAGCCCATCCCTCTATTGAGCTATCAAAGGGAAAGTGCCAATTCAGCTTTAATGTTATTGTGTGAGAATGGGAATCCTGGAAGACCTAGGTATGTGTATTCCGTTTTTGAGAATGGGTCACACCTCCACTGTGCAAAATTATAATAAAAATAAGGACCTTGGTCTAAGAAGGCACAATGGCTGCAAGTAAATCCTTAAGACTCTGAATGCACAGAACAAACGTTAAAGCCAAACACTGTTATTGGAGCACACACAGAGTACAGAATTCCGCATTACTCTGCAATTATGTAATTCTGGAGTACAAAAAAGAAACAATTCTTAATATGTCAATAGTCCTTTTCCTTCAAAAAGTTTCTAAAATATTTTCAGCTGTTATTGTATAAATATATATATGCACACACTATATATTATTTTACCAATTTTTAAATCAGTGAGAAGATCAAAAATTATCATATCAAAGTCAGTGACAGAGCTAAGAAAAGTGTGCTGTGTAAAGTGTGTATTTTCTAGAGCTTTAGCTCTAGTCTGACAGCTAGGGAATCTGATCTGACTTAATAAAATGTCATGTGTTTGTAATGGTGTGATTAGGGTAAACACACTGGAGAATTTGCTAAGTATCTGTATACTCATTTCGTTACTTAGCATGCAACTTATATTTCCTTGAAGTAGGCATACATTGCTCATTTTTATTGATCTTTCCTTGTATTTTAATATAGTTGCCCTTAGTTTGCATTCTTTAATAAAAAGGTCTTCCACCTTGGTATTTGCTTCATTAACTTATTGAATTCCCATTTCTTTCCGCAGGTTAGGGTGTACAGTAATATTATGCATGATACTGTCTTCATTTTTTATGTGTTGTTTTAAAAATGTCTTTTATAGCTATGCTTAATTAAAGTACAGGCAGATTATATTTAAATTGGTCCCTTAGTCCCAAAAGGCTGAAGTAAGCATTTTTTTAAAGTAGACAACTAACCTGCTAAAGGTCTCTGGAATCACTGTAGATACCCACCCACAAGAACATTAAGTAATTCAGCAAAATTAGTAACCTCTTAACATTAAAATCAGAGAAATAGAAGCAAAATCACTTAATTCTAACCTACAGTGGCAGAACTGAGTACTATAGTTCTCCTTAAAATGTAGGACAGCTGCAGTACATCTGTCTACTTTCATAACCAGCAAAACAGCCATGGACTTTAAAATAAATCCTTCAAATCTAAAGACCCAAACATTGCCTAACTGGAAACAGATGAATATTTGCCAAACAATGTACTTTAAGCAGAGAATATATTTGCACTAACAAGGATTTAGATGATCATTAATTTTCCACTTTTTTGCTTTCTTTGAATGCACTTACAGAGACTAATATTTTACAAGATACTGTCTGCTTTAATGTGAAACAGAGCCAGGCCAGATGGCTGACCCAAAGGATTGCTGGCTAGGAGGATTGCAGGAACTTCTCCATTTCTTGGTAGCAAATGTGATTTGGGGGAGCTGCACTAAAGCTATTAAAAAACAACTAAGCTAACCTTTGGAAAAAAACCCCATAGACAACTACACTGAGAAATAACAAAACAGTGTCCAAGTTGTACCTTGAATCCCAAATGGTCAAAAAGTAGAACCAAGCACAAGCAGCCAACAGAAGTACTTTTCATGTGAAAATCACAGCTTTGACTTCTTCCCTCTGTCTTTTCACTCACCTCTAATCAGATTTGATCACCTGGTAGCAATAGAGCGTGCTGGGATGGCTGCTGATGGCAATTACTACAATGCCAGGAAAGTGAACATTAAACATCTCGTGGATCCCATAGATGAACTATTTTTAGCTGCACAAACCATTCCAGGAATCACAACAACAGGTAAATGTGAGTTTGTGTGTTGTTCTCAGAAGCAAGAGAAGCACAGAGCAGGAACTCTTACTGGTAGTGAAGGGGAGCAGGAGGCAGGTGCTGAGTGGCTGCTTTCAGGCTACAGCTGTTTGTTGGGATTTGAAGACATGATTGCTGGAGAAAAATTACAGGTTGCTATTGAAGGATTCTCACAGCCAAAAAAAAAAATATTTCAAAGTTATTTAAGGACAAAAAAACAAAAAAAGCAAGCCCAGATGTATTACCTGTGCATAAATCTATGTACATACACTCTAAGTGCAGTTTTTGATAGTGACTTTATTCTGTATTTTTTGTGTTGAGGGCAACATAGAACATAAATGGTTGTTGGATGGTAACATTCCTTTTTAAAGTATTGGTTTTATGATTGTTATACCAGTTACATAAGTTAAAACAGCAGTCTGGATAGAATATTTGTTTATATTGTCCTTAGCAGTACATTCCTTTAGGCAGGGATTACATATTTGCATCTGTTAAACTCCTGCCTTCCCCAACAAAATCTGTGTGTACAGTAAGAACCTTGAGAGGAATGCCTTGTCCTTCCCACCAAAACAACACTGGCCTTTGCTAATACTTCAAATGAGAATGCTTTTGTCAACTTGCTGCTCCTCTCTTTAGGCAACAAACTTTTTTTTCTTGAAAATTTATTTATATCTGTTCAGAAAAAATATGCCATAGACCATTGTACAATATCCTTGTACAATCAAATGGTTTCTGCTATCATGTGTGGCCCAAATGAGAGTTTTGGAGATATATAATCTCTATAAATATTAAAATCAAATTAGAAATAAGTACCCATGCCAGACTGATTTCTGTCACTTCAGAACACATCTGCTGATTTAGCTTTTTTTCTTCTTATAGTGGACTCACTCCTGTGTATTACCAAAAGAATGGGAACTTTGGCTGCTCAGTTTTGTTGTTTTTCAAATGTTTCCAGAGCATTTAGAGAGCTTCTGCAGAGATAACTCATGGTCTGATTTCACTCTATTGGTATCATTTAAAAGCTGTGTAGCAGAGGACTTCACTGATATGAGTTATTATTGTAAAATCTAAAATACTTTGTATTTAGATCTAATTTGGGGTTTTTTTTCTAGTCATGTGATGTACCTTCCAACATTCAAAAGGAAGCACTCTAGATGGCACTGTCTTGGCAATCTCAACAGAGGACTAAGATTGACTGAATAAATATTATATAGGAAAAGCTCTGTTTTGTAAAGATGTCTAGCAAATGCCTCAGAGCTTCATCTGCTGCTGTTAGTTTCAACTCCTATCCCTGATTTTAGGTTGTTTTTACAAGAATTTGATCTCTCCAGCTACTGACATAACACCACAACCTGATTCTTTTAGTAAAAATACCCTAATCTCTTCAAATATCTCCCAAAGCAGCTCAAAGTATATTATTCATTTGCTGGAGTTTGGAATGTTCTGCCAGCTGAGAATTTGAATCTATTCAGCAGAATGTAGTTTGTTTCAAACATTCTCTAAATATTCAAATATACTATGAAATGTCATTAATAAAAAATACCACAGGCTTGTGAAAAAGAAGAAAAGCAAGTTATTCAGATTGTGAATAACTGCTGTGAACTTTATCTGAAGAGATTTCTGCATAGGAAATGGTTTAACAAGTCAGAGGCTTTAAAGGACAGTGAAGGGATCTGCTCTGTTCTCCCATGGCATTTGTGTAAGTGGATATTCTGCTCTGGAGAACTAACTGGGTGTCTATAAGAAAGCAATGCAATTGTTTCTTACATTGTCTGTTGCCTAGTTAACATTTCTTGTATAGTTTATCACATTAATTTTTTCTGTCTGTTATTTTAATTGGGTAGCAATTTTTTGGGTTGGATGTTGGGTTTTTCAATATGTTTCTGCCAAGAGTAGTTTAACTTGGCCACTGTGGCCTTTGTGTTTGTCTCTCATTACTGATAGCAATGTGTTGCTACTGATGAGGATAATTTTTTTTCTGGTGGGGCTGTCTTCAACTTTCTTTATGGTCAGTAGGAATTTGGAAGCATATGACTAGTTCCAGAATAAATGAAAATATTGCACGGAATTAGGGTGGACTACCTGAATAACCTTATAGGCTAGAATACCAGAAAGATCAAGTTTTCAGCCTACAGAAATTCTTTATATAGTGTGCTCCGTGGCAAGAAGCACTGTGTCAGTAGGTGGAGAGGGGAAATGTTAGAACATTTGTTACATGCTGATTAATTGCTGTCAAGTGTTGCATTTAAAACAAGATCTGTGTTTTTAAAAAAAATCTGGTCTGGTAGTTTGACCACAGACAAAGCATGAGCAATGCCTGCAATTGCATGGGTATTGACATCGTAAAAACTCAGGGAGTGAGGAGCAACCTTGAGGAATTCACAGAGTAAGAAGACATGAAAGGCTGAGTTTGGAAGGGACTCATTTTCCACATAATCTGAAATAAAAGATTAAGAAATGTTACTGGAACCACATATTATTTTTTTCAGCTGTCATACAATTGACATAGCTATATGCTATTTATATAGGAGCTAATTAAAAGCTTTCCAAAGTACTGCATGAAAAAATGGGGTCACACATTTTCCTTTCATACAGAAGATTTTTAGCACAGAAGACTGACATCTCCTGCATATTTCATGAATGTAGTTTCAGAAAACAATGTAGTCGGTGGGAACTTGCATGAAATATCCAGCAGAACTATTTTTCCTTTGCCTGGAAAGAAATTGGGCCTTTAGAAGAGGATTCATCTTGCCTATTTTCAGACATCTATATTTGAGATGTCTGCCTTGGGGTGAGATGAACTGAATGTGTGAAGGGAGTGTTTCTTTCTGCTGACTTTAAAAGCAGCATAACTGGCTGGCTCATGGACGGATGGCTGCGTGTGCACAGGTGAATTTCACTCTGGAGATCTACAGTAAAATACAGTTCTCCTGCAGTGTGTGGAGGAAGAAGAAACAGATGGGAGAGGAGACTTTTCAGTGGGGTGTTCTTTTCCTCCCAGTGTCACACAAATGGGATCCATCTACAGCAATAGATCTACCCATTGTGCAGCCATCCTGGTGACAGGACTCCCACAAAGACAGGAAAAGCAAAGCAGGGCAGATAGAAAAATCCCTGAGCAATGGATATATTTCAGTTAAAGAAACTGTTAGTTATTTTCATGGGACAAGAATTCATCTCAGCCCTGTTAAAGAATGTTAAGAGCAAAAATTTTCATTTTGAGTATAAGAAAAAGAAGAACATTGTGTGTGATTCTTACAAAGCAGTAGAACTTGCATATTTATATAGAAGGATAGAAGCACCTGGATTGCATCAATACCTGTTTGAAAAGTACTATCAATAAAGAGATTTTTGAATCCATAAATTAACTCCCAATGGTGAAATAAATGTGAGCAGATTATTAAAGCAGACAAAAAAGAGTAGCTATTCCATGGCAAATCCTTTTATGTAAGCTGTGTGTCACTCAGTTACAGCCTACTTGACTGGATAGACTTAAGGAATCAAATAAAAATGGCTGCTAAGAAATAACTTTCCATTTCACTTAAAGAAGAAATTTGCTACAGACACATGAGATATTTATGCAGTTACTAAAAGTGTTAAATTTACCAGTTTTCAGGCCTTGAAGTGTAAATTATAAATATTGTAATTTCTCCTCTGTAACACATACTATGCATTAGAGCACAGTCACATTTCAAATTAGAATCTGGTACATCCCAGTGAGGACTTGGAGCTCTTCGCTCTTCTGTTTCACAGACATGGTCAGAAATTTTTAAATTTAAATTTAAAATCTTCAAATTGAAAAAGATGCCATTCAGACTAACAGATGAAAGAGACATTCTAATTTCCCACTAAGTAGCAATAATATTTGATTAATAATGATAAATAATAAATTAATTCAATATTTTTAAATCTATTGGTAAGAGACTTGAGGTACTATCCAGCTTTTATGTAGGCTGCTAGTTTATATGTTACCCTCATCTCCAGGTATCTAAATGACTTCTGACAATTTATGTCCTAAATACCAGGTTGCCTAGCATTTTCCTGAAATTGCATAGATCCCACTGATTTCACTAAAAGCACTAAGACAAGCACACAGTACTTGTGCAAAAAGTCCCGCATCCAGTATATAAGAAAATTAAAATGAATAAAGACTGGCTATTTTTTTGGTAAGTGACTGTGAAAAATGAGAACAGTAATAGTATATGGGGCTGGGCTCTTTGTGTACTGCAGCACGTTAGTGATCTGTGTCAAACAGATGGGCAGTGCAGTCAGGCCTGCTTCTGCCCAAATCCTTATCTATACTTTTGCTTGTCTTTCTGCAAAAATTGTTCTTTCTATTCTGATTTTAAATTAAAGCTTGTAACATGCCAAATTTTTCTATGCTTTCTTTATCATAGGATTGTTGGCTGATTTCTCAGGTTGATTTGGGTTTAATTTTCTATCTTCTTTCTTTATTTGTGCTGATGTACTTGTGATAACACATTATATAGACCACTCAAGTAAGGCCTTCCATAAGCAAAGTTCACTGTCTTGATTCTGTCTGCAGTTCACAATCACTTGATAACTTTGATTTCTTTTGCGTGCACGCAGTGTACAGTGTACATTGCATAATAAACTTAGAGGTTGGCATGCAATAGGTGATGCTTTCAACTATTTCATTCACAGTCTCCTGTTCCTAGGTGCTGTGGATGAAAAATGATAAACCATCTCATATGCAGCTATCAACTATCACAACAACTGTGGGGAAGACATGGGATGCTTTCTAAAGGAATTGTCTGTTATTTGCTGTGCTCATACTCATTTTGTCTTTTTCCCTTTTATAAAGGTGTTGGAGATGGAGGAAATGAACTAGGAATGGGCAAAGTAAAAGATGCTGTAAAGAAGCACATAAAAAATGGAGATGTTATAGCTTGTGATGTTGAAGCTGATTTTACTGTTGTAGCTGGTAAGGGATTTTTGGTGGGGTGGGACAGTAGCTGATGTTTGAGAATAGAACTGACAAGGAAACATTTGTCTTTCCAAGTAATTTATCGGTCCTTTCCAAGTCATCCTCAGCAAACTGACTATCTCTGTATTATGTACATTTTCTGAAGAGTTAAGCACATGTTGCTTCGGAAGAACTGACTGAAAATTGAGAATGTTCCATGAACAAAGTGCACTTAATTGGAAATAGTTGGGAAAATCCTGAGTATTTTTGAAAGATCACATATTATATAAAATCACAGAACCATGGAATCCTAGAATGGTTTGGGTTGGAAGGGACCTTGAAGATCATCTAGTTCCTACTCCCCCTCCCATGGGCAGGAAGCCTTTCACTAGACCAGGTTACTCAATAGCAAATGTTACTAAGACTGCAGAAGTGATCTGTGTGGGAATTAAAATGTCTGTGCACATACAAATTTTCAGTATAATTGATAAACTTCTCTTTAGAGTGTGCCCCATCAGGTATAAATTAGTCATATTGCCCCTTTACAAAGAGATAAGTTCTTTCAATAATCACTCAGGGGCAAACGTATGTTCTTAATGTTCTCGATGTTCAACAAAAGTTGAATGTTATAGTTAAAATTCTGTTTTACACCAGCATGAAATAAAATTCACAGCGAGAGAGAGCTGTTCAGCACGGACCCGCTCATGAGCGGGATGGCCTGCATTGTGCTGGGGCTCGGGTTTCTGTTCTGCCCCGGTGTGTGACGCGCTCCGGCGCTCACGGCGCGCCCTGCGCAAGGTAACGGGACGGAGCGGCCAGCGAGTGCTGCCCGGCCGCTTCCATCCCTCACCCTCGCCAGGTCTGCGGGCACTTCTGGGGGTTCCTGGTGAAGGAGCAGCGCACTGTCCTTAGACTGCTTCCACAAAGGATTCGAGACAGAGTGCAAATAAAAATCCTGCAGTATAAATGTTTCATGTCTTGTAGCTTTAAGCAGAAGACAGTGCTACAGTTTTATGGGCAATGAAAGAAATTCTTGGATTGAGATACAGTGATTAAAATTCCTGTTTGCTTCCTTAGTATCATTCATGATTTGATAACCCTCTGTTGTGTGTCCTTTAGATGTCTGCTTCCAAAATCAAAAGTCACGGTTCTCATGCAGTAGCCACTCCATACTTCTGATCTTTGTACCTTACTTCTGATCTTCCCCCTTTTCTAGTTTGCTAGAGTCTTTCTACAATTAGTTTTGAATGTTTCTAAATTAAAGTTGGAGAAAAACTTGTACATGAATATTTTTAAATGTGTTTTGACTAATGCAGCTCTGTACAGTGTGATATTCTGGGAATGCAAAGGTTTCAGACTGAGAAAAAGGAAAATAAGTGAGAGGGGTGAGAAATGACTCTGATCTGTGCTCATCCTGCTGAGCACGTGCCTCTATTTTTAACTTGACAGTGGTTAAAAAAAAATCTGTCTACACACACACACACACACCCACCCACACACACCCTAATGATTAAGTTAATGATTAAGTAAGATTTGTTCCACAACTTTACAATAAATAAGGAGCTTCAAGATTTCAAGATTCAGCTTTTTTAGCAGAGGTTTGGACAAACCCATTAAGTGTGTGACATCCAAGAATGCTAAGCAAAATGCAATCCATCTACCTTAGCTACTGTCCAAAACAAAGAAGTTTTTCTCCTGAGATGATGGGACATTCTGCATGAAATTCCAACAAAGCACCTTTACGTATTTTAGAGTACATCTCACTAATTTTTTTTTTTAATTCTTTCTATCTTAGTTTTTCATCTAAAGGTCATAAAACTGAAACTGATCCAAACACATGGCATAGCCATATAGCTTAACAAAGCTTATATGGCCCTTTTCAACACAGTCTTTTTTATAAAACAGGTTAATTATTTTTCAGTTTTCAGTGTTTTTTCCAGTTGCATCTACTGGTTTTTGACCTTTAAATTAATGCATCCTAAAATGACTATGATCAAAATTCCTGGTAATGAGATACTGTAATTAAATGTTATATTGTGTACAGGAAAACCTTGTTTTTGTTTTACTAAGCTATACAGCTGGGAATATTAATGATTCAATAATGGGCTACTGAAAGTGCAATGCTAAAATCTGCTGAGATAAAATTAATGGAAACAGTTTTGTGGAGGAGAGAAAATGACAGAATGTCTGACAAGAAAATATGATATCTTTAATTATAAATCACACAACAATGAACAGTGCAGAAGATTGAATACATTAGTATTCACATAGTCCATTAGTATAAAAAAATCAGACCATTTATGTTTATATGGCTACTTTCTGCAAAATTCATCTTCATTTAATGCTATAATAATTACCCTAGTGAGATAAAGAGCAACACCACACAGATCCATCTCGGTGTTTATATTTGTGATTGTAATTGGAAAGAGGACATTTGAAGGAGTCCCTCAGCACCAGACAGCTTTCTTATAATGTGTTTTATTTTTCTTCAAAAAATGGCACTTCCATGAATGCTGCAGGTCGTAATTACTAAGTGAAGACTTCCCCTCCAACACCAACATTATTTCCCTTCAGGCTGGTGTTCAAGCAGTGTCAGGATTGCACTGCCAAACCCCAGGACTGCAGAGTTCTCCCTTCCCACTGAACAGCAAACTAAGATTGCTCTGAGTTCATGTGTGAGCCTTTCCACACAATGAGAGATGCTGCAAAGCATTTGTTCTGTGCTGAGAGCTGTGGGAACAGGAAACAACTGGACCTAAACAATCTCTTTGCCTTTATCTTTGCTTACCTAATCATTTGATTATGGTATTGGCTTGGTTTTTCAGATGTTCATAGTACTTTTACACCAAAGTGACTGTAATGAAATGAATTCATTCATACATATCCGAATGTAGCTTGTGCTAAACGTACTACAGTCAACTCTGCATTTTATTGCATCTCACAAATAGGTTAATATATAAAGCATTTCTTCTTTTACTGAAGTCTTTATTAATGGCAACATATTAGCTGTATAGTGTTTTTTTAAATTATGAACTATAAGAATATTAATTATATTATGAATATATAGGTGTGACATTTTTTGTGTGCTTTACTAGTTTTGTCATTCATAAAGAAGCTTTCCCCCTTGAATAAAGCACAAACTAACAAGATATTTTTCTATTAATATGATTATTTTTTTCCAGTTACCCACTCCCAACATAATTATTTACTAAAGAGAACGCTGTGGTCAAATTGCAGCACTGTAAAGCTAAGGCAGCGTGCTGTGCTGTACGTTGTGTTTGCTTATTACAAATGGAAGCTGTAGCATTTTATGGCAGGCTATGGTTTCTCAGGCATAGTTATGTGGTATTAAGCAAGCAAACTTTACCTCATATAAGCAGAGCAGAGAGCTCTACCATGTAAATATGTAGCACAAAACTATAATGTATTAGAGATTACATTTTGTGTATCCAGTTTAGGTGTCTCCTTTGTGACAGGAGAGAACTCCTTTGCCCTTTTGCATTTAGATACACTCAGTGCTAAGAGAAACCTCTGTTGTGCAGAAAGATCAGTTGTATATATTTGCATTTATGTATATGATCAATCATATGATATAAACTGATGTGCATGTATAATTTTATTAATTATAAAGTAGCAAATTTTAAGCTACTAGTGTATCCAGATAATTTCCTTAAATAGCTGTGTCACTGCTGACACCATGTAACTATGCATATTTTTCCTTTAGTAGAAAACCAGAGCCTCATTTAATTTTGTTACAGTTAAGAATTAGGATGATTTAGAAGGAAATAAAAGACAGATCTTTAGAAAGTCCATTCACAGAGCAGGTTACAAAATTAAACTGAATTGATCACGCAGGGCATGCTTTGCTTCATTCAGAAATTATTATATTTTGGCCATTTTACCATTAGGTAAAATACAACCATATTGTGTTTCAATTCAGATCCTCAGCTACTGTATTCTTTGTGGTTTAGAAGTGTTCCTAGAAAAAATGCTAACATTTGATAAGAGAAAATTAGATATTTTAACATTACTTTTTTTTTTTTTTTCATCGTTCATGTGTCCAGGAGATAAAGAACTTCTGCTAGGTTGTTGTGTGGTAATGTCAAATATGAAGTGTTAAAACCTAGAGGGCTCTTTGTCAAGGACACTGGTAGGATTGTGGCAGTAGCAATTTGCATGGAAATGGAAATGGAAATGGCACAGTAGACCAAGCCCAGAAAGGGCTTTCCTAGTAAAGAAAGAGAGGAAAAAATAGATAGATGAGTGTTTCAAGGTCTTACATAACCTATCACAGGATTGGCATAGGGAAACCTAACAAGTGACCAGGTTTTTAGTTTTCCTAGACTTTCATTAACAGAATTCAAGGAATAAATTCTCACTATAGTAAATGCTAAAAAATAGGAAGTTTTACTGTGTACATTTCATGGCAAATTAAAAGCAGTACAGTTTGTGCCAGACATACATTCACTTGAAAGCAGATCTTCAAATTTCACTGTTCCCTGTGGTTTTTTTCAGAGCTCATTTTATCCCATCTTTTCATCTCACAATGCTAACTGGCCCATAGCTCACAAAAATGATTTTGTTCCCTCTGTGTAATTTTACAGCTGAACTTGGAACACACTTTGTTATCTGCTTATATTAGTTAAGCAAGAACATAACTGTAGTTCTAAACAAAGCATATGCTAGTTCAGAGCTTGCCAAGGAAGCACAATTTCCGAGGCTGTTTTTTCCCCACTCCTTCCCTAAGCAACCAGAATTCTCATAAAATCAATCATGAAAAGGGAAGAGAGGGCCAAAGGCACAGAGAGATCAGAGAAGCTGCAGGAAAGGATAGTGAGTGTGCAGCCCATCCAGGTGCTCTCTGTAACCTTTTTTCCTGGTGCACCCTCCTTCTCTTCTGTCTTTTTCTATAAAATTGCAGCTGCAGCCAGCTGCCTGGCTGGAGAAACCACAGATGGATGTTTGAGATACTTTGAGTGGAGGTTCCTCTGATTCTGATTTGTGCAATATAGGAACTTGAAACCAAGCAAAAAATGATTTTTTCTGAATTGACACTAATGTTCTGTTGGAGGCAGTGTGGAAAAAAATAATATTCAGTGATTAAATAGCAGTCAAGATTTTAAACCATCTGACACTCCCTGCACTCCAGCTGCTAAACATATTCTTTGGGACAAGATAGTACTTGCAAGTTGATGGCAAAATAAATATGAAGGATATGTGCAGTCTCTCCCAGAATTAAAACAAAGATCTTGATGACTGCCCTTGTCTGATTCAGGAATTTAATTATACTCTGTTTCTTTGTTTTTCAAGGAAGAAAAGCTTCTGAAAAGACTTGTGCAGCTCGGGGTCCGCAGTGGCAAAACTGCCAGTGTGGAGATGGAAGTGGCTGGGCTGCCCTTCTACAGCACCCATTCACTTATGATTGAACAGCTGCTGCAGGAAGCACAGCAGTGACTGCTCCTAATGACTTCTACATGAAGAGTTGCTCCCATATCATTCCCTTATTTTTGAGGCTCTCTCAAGGCGTAAAAAATCAGGAAAAGATGACTTTTCATCTCTGGTGTCTTGACCACACACAGCCTTTCATTGTTTTCCGTACAACATCTCTGTGAAACAAGAAGAGGATATGATCCACTTGGTTTACCTTTCTTTTCTGTAATTTTATAATGGAAAATGGAATTTTGTAATTTTATAATTTTATAATGGAAAATGAATATTAAATGATATTATATAATAAGAGGTGATCTGGCTTTTACAAAAAAAGCATGAAATTACAATGAGATATGATTGCACTGCTGTTCTTGTTTTACTAACCTCATAACTGCAACAGGAAGTAACTCTCATAGCAACTTGGATTTAAAAATACTTGTGGTGAGGAAAACAGCTACAGTAGAGAGGAAGATTCAAAACAAAACCTTCCTGTAGCCCCCCTCTAACACTGTGTTCTTATGGATAGTTTGTGGAAGTGTGAGGAGAGAAGGAGAAAATTTTAACTGAGCTAATGAAAATAAGGGCAGCATTCCACATCTTCTGTGTAAAGGGTTGGCTGTGCCATTACCCCCTGTCATATTAGTAATTTGCCACTTATGTATTTTGCCACTTTATGGATAACAAAGTTGTAGACATTTCAGAGTATCCTGTTGTTACAAAGAAATTAATTGAATACAAAATAATTATTAAAAATTAATGATTAGAAATTAAAGTATGATTAGAAAGGAATAAACATTTGCATTCAGTATGAAATAACATTATGTAAATAAACCTTTACATGAATTCCTGCCGTAGAAGTTCAGGTCCTGACAGGACCAAGTGAAGTAACATTGAATTTTATCCCATAGGATTACTAACTCTGAAGCAGTACATGACAAGTGGTTGTGAACTGTGTCCAGCTTTTGTCATTCAAAGCTGTAATTTTACCTTAACTGCAGGTGAGTGGCAGCACTACAGTTCTGCTGGATGTCAGCCCTCGAACAGAGAGTGGAGGGTACATTTGACACCACCCCTGGAACACTGGTGCTTTACCTGTCATAAAATGGAAGTTGCCTTTAGTTGGACTTCCAGCAGCGAGCAACACTTTATATCTCTTTTCCTTCCTGGCAGGTGGGTTTTATTTTCCTTCTTTGACATAAGACAAACAACTTTTTCCAAATGAGAAAAATAATTTCATATCATGAACACCAGCATATTTTGAACATTAATCTCCTGAAGTCCCTGAGGATACAGATCCTTTAAAGATGTAAAATAGTTGAACACGTCAGAAAAAAATCTTAATGCCAGACTTCTGCTAGACATTTAGGTTCATCAAAGATTCCAATCTTTATTTTCTAGATAGATCAGTCTTTTTTTTAGATTCATTTTATCTAAAACTTTTGCAAATGATGATCTAGAAAAGTATCTTGGAAGTTTAACAGTTAGAAATATCTCCTTCAGAAGTCTCCAAACTATAATTATTAAGTAAAATACTTCATATGAATTATTGAACTTTTTTTCCAAAGCCAGTAACCCTGCAGGATGGCATATGTTCACTGCTGCACAGAACTCACAGAATTAAATTGGCATCATTTTAAAAGCAACTGATTTTATTCTCTCTGTGCTACTGACATGTTACATTAACAGGTGCAATGTATATTTCCAAGCACTAACTTTTGTTAGAAAATTTAATTTAGTAAGCTTTTGCTCTTTTTTCGCCCTAAAATACAAGTCTTAACAGTCAGTTTTCATTAAGAAATACAAAATAGAATCATTTATTTCTCTTTTACTCCGGTGTGTGCTTTTAAAATGCCTTCTTGTGTGCAGTCCCAAGCACAGCATTTACTTCAACAGCATGTGTAGCATGTCTCTAGCAAGACATGCTTGAGACCTTAGCAGGCCCCTTGGGTGAATGTGTTTTGACTGAGATGGAAGGAAAGGCTCTGAGTGGGACTTACCTTCCTGCTGTATTGGTTACAGTTTGCAGCCTAAGCCAAACAGTCACAATACAGACAGAATTGATAAAATATTGGCCTCAAGAAAAAAAAGGGGAAAAGAAGAAGAAAATCCCTCCTTTCTGTTCTGGGTTAGCAGGTTAAGTGCTGGGAACTGGAGCAGAATGCTGCACTGTGTTACACAAGTTTCCATCTGATTTTAAACTACAGCAGCTGACCAAAGCTGACCACATCAAAGTTCCAACTCCAACGAGCCTTAATCCCTCAGATGAAAATTCCATGTAGTACAGCATGCTCTGCATTCCAGTTGTCTAATTTAAACAGCATGGGGAACTATAAAGAAGCAACACATAAACACAACAACAAATATTTAATCCTAGAACAAACCATGTGTGTCTTGCAGCCTGACAGGTCCTGGGGGTCCCAGGGGTTGGTGCTTAACAATGTACAAGCTCAGCACTCCAGGGAGGGAGTCCCTGCCTTACAACCCCCTTGGAATACACTGCAGATGAGTTGAAAGATTAGGAGAAAATAAAGCTAAACAGTGCTAAGAGTCAGGAGAAAAAAAATGCAGATGTAAGGTAATTAATCCAGCTGAGTGGTCAAAGTATAAAGAAATGTAAAATAATTAAACAAACCAAATGTTAACCTAAGCAAACCTAATCCTCTCTTGGGACTGGGGACACGAATCTTTTCTGCAAAAGGAGGGAGGAGAGGATGTGTAGTCTTCCAAACAGGAACTGTGTGCCAAAACTAAAGATAGTTATTTCAAATATGGTGTGAAAAAATATAAAAAGCAAATTATAAAAACATTCTTTATTAAACACATCCACTAACTATATCCAATATTGCACTCTCAAGGTGGTTTCCAGAAAACTGTTAGAATATATTCCTTTTGGAATCTGATGACAAGCAAGGCTGTGTTACAATGACATATTCAGATAGCAGGAGTAGACCATCTGTCTAGACAATCTTTTGACTCAAAAGCAAACCAAAGAAACAAAACTGATTGTACTGCTGTAAGTTATCAGCTCTGGGTTGCAGAGAGGAGTTTCAAGGAAACACCAGAGAATTGAAAGGACAAGGCAATATTCACGGTGTAACAGCTACAGGTAAAAGGAGGTGTGATAAGCAGATTGCAAAGAAGAATCACACAGGATTCATTAGCGCAACAAAAAACCCTAAGAAACCTAGAGAGGAGGTGGTGGTAGAGACAATACTGTGGAGCACAACTCCCAGGTCTTTAAAAGCCATTATTCTCCACTTCTATATTTTGTGTCTAAACCAGGACACAGATTATTCATACATCATATTTCTGATACTGTATTTACTGAACAATGACCAAACCCTAAACTGTATTATCTGTGGGCAAAAACACGGTTTAAACAGAATTCATTCAACAGTTTCCCTGACAAATGCATTGTTATTTAATTGCCTGCGTGGTCTATGCTGCACAAGATACACAACTTGCAAAGGACACAATCAAAACCTTAGCAAGGTGTAGTAAAATTTAGATGTAAATACACGTTCTTGAACATAGGGACTCGGAGAAGCACATGGCATCAAAGTGCCTCACTTACTACCAACCTCTTGTTCTCTTCGGAGTCAACAAACCAAGTTATTGACACCCACTGGAGCCCAGTCTCCTACTTCCAGAAGTCTCTAGGATCCTTACCATGAGGTCTAACAGTCTGAGGCTCAACAGTGAAATAGCAGCCTGAAGGTCTCAGCAGGTGCTGAGTTCCTTGTGCATGTTCTCCCATGACATGATAATGTCTCGCACTATCAGACTGATTGTTTTAGGAATCTGGTTCTGGTGTGGTCTCGGCAGGCTTTGAAACTTGCAGAAGGAGAAGTTATTTCAGAGAGTTACACAGATATTGCACAAGTGTTTGTTGGGCTTTTTTTTTTTTTAAGTATATATGGGAATATTAATTTTTTTTTGTCTCTGACCTTTTCAACAGATGATAACAGCTTGTAGAGAATTACTTTCTCTAGATGCTACAGGGGCAAACAGAAAGCAGCTAAAGATGAGTTCACCAGAACTACACACTGTGAGTACTGGCTTATTCCAGTCAGTGAAGTCATCAAGACAAACAGGTCTTAAGTGGCAGCACAGATATGTGATTATAACTGAACTGACTTAGCACAAACTTTCCTCACTATTGCCAGCGTCCAAGCACCTCTAGAAACAGCTTCACTGCACAGCATTGCTCATAAGCCTTTGGGAGGTCACACTGTTGTAATACATGAAAAATTCAGACAGATACACAAACACGGCCGTAGCTGCAGGTGTAGGATTATGGTCCTTTTGATTAATGCTATAGGCTGTCTGCATTAGTTGTGAAGCAGTCCTTCATTCCAGCACCATCAAGTGGTATTTGTAATAAGCCTGGTTGTTGTTCATGCTGTTTTCTGTTGGGAGTTTCAGTTGTGTTTAGTGGATAGGATTCCTTCGTCTCAGTACTCAGATGGCCTAAGCATGTTAGACAAGAGTCTCTCATCTTGACAAAGTTCTGGTAAGTGCTTTCACTGGAAAAACAGTACAATACTGGGTCAGCAACACAGTTGAAAGTAGTTAACAGGAGAGAAATATGGTAAACATTAAATATTTTCTCAGCAAATGAGCAGTTGTTCTCCAACAAGCTACGAACTACAAGTAGGATGTGGTATGGTCCAAAGCAGACTAAAAATATGAAAACAGTGCTTGATACCAGTCTTTTAATTTGTATTTTCTTCTTCTTTTGGGTGCCAGGACTCTTGTGGACAACTCGTAAAATCCCACAGTAGGAGAAGACCAGCAGAAAGAAGGGGAAAAGGAAGCCAGCAGAGAAGCGATAGTAATTGACATTGTGCTCCCATTTCTTGATGGGGTAATGCTCAAAGCACACCAAGTGGCTCTCAGCATCCATACTGATCTCCCCGTGTGTGAAGACAAGGCAGCATGTGATAATTTCTTTGGCCCAGATGATGATGCTCACAATGGCAGCAGCCTTCATGGTCCGAAAGCGCTGGAACCGAAAGGGGTGCACCACGGCCAGGTAGCGGTCGATGGAGATGCAGCACAGGAAGCCCACGCTGATGTAGATGTTCTCATACAGGATGATGCCACAGACTTTGCACAGCAGCTCATCGTAGGTCCAGTTGTCATGCTGTAAAGCATACTGGAGCCAAAAAGGCAAAGAAAATATGTACAGCAGGTCTGCTATTGTCAAATTGCAAAGGTAAATACCTAATTCATTTTTAGCTTTGATCTGTAAATACCCATAGTACAGTGACAGGCAGTTAGCTGGCAAGCCTAATATAAACACAAATATGTACACCACAGGGGATAATGTCTCGTGGATATCATGATTAATATTGCATTTCTCAGTCGCATTCTCTGTGAAATTCACCATCTTCTACTTCTCCCTGTGTATCACTCATCAGGGTCCTCAATGTAAGACTTAATTACATTCAGTTTTCATGTAGAGTTTATTTCTTCCACAAACCCTTAGGCTGAAGTGATGACTTGCTGCAGAGTGTTAATAACCTGAAGATAAACACAAAGAAATATTTAGAAGGGATACAATTCTTAAATATAGAGTACACTTTTCAGAAAGCTGCCTTTTCCTAGCTCTAAGTCTTTGATAAAGATAAAGCCTCTCTGGGAAATCAAGGTTCACATAACTCCTAGTACGTAACAGAAAAGTGCCAGAAAATTATGTAATCCAGAATCACAAAAAAGTTACAAATGTTTGTTGTTTTAGCTTTGGAGGTATCTAAAATATGAAGAAGTATCATCTCTGGTTTACAGATGGGGCAGAAAAGCAGTAATCAGATTTGTCTACAATGAAAAAGGTGTCTCTGATAAAGCAGCAGCCCACACAGATTTCCTTAGAGGGTGTAGGGTGCACAAAACTCTTGATTATTAATTTCTATTTCTTAAATTTCCTTTTATATACAAGATACCATGTAATATGCAGTTCAATTCAGCAGGACGAAAAACAAAGGGAATTTTTAGCACTCTGTCTTACAGTTACTTATAAAAACAATCCAGAAAACAAGTTATCTTCCTCTGTTGGAAGGACATGGTGAAACTCTGGTACAATGCATCTCCATAGTCTCAGTTCTACAGGATGTGCTACTAAATATTCCTTATTTGCCATCAACTCCAAAACCCACACATTTATGACTTACACATTTTTATCTTTCCCTTTCATCTTCACTGAATATGACTGTAATTGTTTTCACCTGAAGAATCTGGTATAGTCCAAACACATACCCATAGAAGCCATTGCTATGGTATGCTCTACTGAGCTATACTGTAACTGTTTAATACACAAAAACCGCTGCTGACGCTGGATTAGCACTCAGTGCTGCTAGGTCAAACCTGGACCCAGCTCACAGTGGTGAAACCCTCAACTAAACAAGGAAATACCCCATCCAGCATTTTGTCACTGCATGGTACATTCACGTGGGCACAGATGCTCAGCACTGGAGGACAGCAGGGCAAACTGTGCCTGGTCTGAAGGGAAGGAATGCTTGTTTAACCTGGTGGTGCAGAACAGCAAGACTGTATTTCTTTCAATCTCTCCGCAGAAGATTCAGGGATGTTGGGTGTACCTTTGTAAGGTAATAATGGTACTCCTGTGTACTCTTTCACAGCTTCAGATACTATGGATTCAAAAGAAGCACTATCCAAAGATAAGGCCTTGCTGCTTTTTCCTGTTTGCTATGCTAATTTGCATTTTTGTCATCATCTTCTGTCCCATCTAGGAACATAAAATTTCTTCCAAGGCAATGCTTACAAAAACATGACCATGCTACAGTAAAATTACTGTCAGCTTTAGCATTTGAAGATGTTACTGTCAAATTATTTTTTTAATACTTTTTTTAATAGGGATAGATAGGCTTTACTCCTGTAGAAACTGAAAAAAAATCACTTGCTTTAAGCCAGAAAATATTTGCCTGGCTGAAATAAGTGATAAAACCTGCAAAGAATTTAATTTTTTAGCTTCAATCAGCATAATTCCACAGAATTCACAGCAAGCACATACAAATAAAAATTGGGATGTGGTTTTCATCCCTTTACTTTTACTTTTGCTTTCCAACAGAGGGAATGTCATCCCTGGTTTTGGTAGAAATATCCTTGGGAGCTCAGAAACTTTCAGTCATGAAACAACTGGCCAAGGTAAGTTCATCTCCCTCAAAACTTTTAACTCCACTGTCCAATGCAATTTGTGTGAAAGACTGCTCAAGTCTGGCACTCTGCTGTCCTCCACCTCTCAGTCTCAACAGCTCCTTTGGGGTTTAAGAGACTCATGCTCTCCACTGTGGCTGTCAGAACAGTTATAGTTCATTTATCAAGCTCAGCAGGAGAAATGCTGAGGGGACCCAGTCACAGGTACCTGTGGTTCAGTTTGAAGTTTGCTCTAGGAGCTTGCCATAAACTTCCCATGGAATAAATATGATAATGTTAGCAGTGCTGACATGTACAGCAGAAATCAATCACTAAAGTTATGTACAAAATTTCCCAAACACTGATACCTAGGGGCCATCAGCTCCTCTGTAACACTATGCAGTCTCTCCAAGGGTTCATAACCACCACATATCTCTTCCATCTGCAGACAAGGGCAGTGCACAGTATCTGTGCTGAGGCAGGTTTGATAACCTTCTTACCCCAACCCACCTTTTTAATCCAGAGCTCCAGGACTGAGTTTGTATTTCTGCATTTTCAGCATTTCTGTATAATGATTTTGTGACTTTTACATGTAAGGGTTTGCCTGAACAGGATGATTGGCACACCTTAGTTATTCTCTAAAATACCTAAAATCTGAGACCTGTCATCATATCTACCAGCACAATGCCCAGCCAGTGTCCAGCTCCTATTTGGTCAACAGGGCCAAATAGTAATCCAAAAGCTGTAGACAGTTTTGAAAATTCAGAGCTGTCTTTATATGTCTAGAACTGAGTTTCATTCAGTGTTACCCACTGAGTCATTATGGATCACATTTATGAGGAAAAGCAAATGTACTCTACAGCTGCAGTGTTTTTGAAAATGTTTCTTTTCCTCTAAGAACTCTAAATGTTTTTTATCAAATTATGTTTTCATACAGAGAATATAATTCTCTGTAATAAGTAAAATCATTTCTACTTAGTTTAAAAGTCTTGCCAGAATGCAGAATGTGAAGGAGGCAGCAAAAGTCTTATTGATACAATATTATGGTAATATAATATACACTTATGATTACAGCAACATTTCCTGCTCCTGGAGGAAATGCTGGATTGGGGTGTTCGAAGGGGCAATAAGAGAAGGTTGGCTGTAACAAATCTCTTTGCCTTGTGCTAAAAATCCCTCCCCAGTTTCAAAGATGGGGATGAAAAAGAAAGATCCAGATTCTTGTGCAATAGCTGTCTTATACTGCTGTTCTGGACAGTGGCAAGAGTGAGCCAGGAAATCCTTCCCTTGTTTCAGCCTCCTCAGTGTGTGGGCTCTGGGATGCCTTTGTACCCTTTGACCACTCATGCCTGGCTAAGGACAGACTCAGCAGCCACATGGAAATACAGAGGCAGTTCAACTTTTCCCAGCACCATGCACACTAAATATAGCTCTGCACCAGCCAGGGAGTGAAACTGTAGGATTTTTTCAACAAACCTGGTATCAAAGGACTGCACCAGCAGGTTTAAACAAATGAGTGTGGAAGAGCCCACTCTGTTGTTAAGAACATGTGATACAATACTTTACAAGCTGTCTGAAAAAGTGGAACATGAAGGAAAGGTGATGCAGGGTATAGAAGAGAAAAGATAAATAGCTCCCTCATTACTTATTGGCTACTTCTGTAAAGAGAGACGAGAAAAATTTTTTAAGTTTCTCTATGAAAAACATCTGGGGTGCAGACAACCATAATGCTGAAAGCAGATATGAACAGGAACACACAGGCATTTCTTTTAGAGAGCTTTAATATGGATATAGTGCAGCTGTGCGACTTCTTATTTTTTTATCATAGTTTATGTAACACCTTCAGTATCACGAATTTGCAGTCATTTCCAGGCAATATTTCTCTCTCCTATATGCCCACATTTTTTAGATGATACCCATCTAAGCCTAAGTCTTGGCAATATATTAAAAGACTCTCTTCACCTACATGAGCTCCAAACAATTCTCTTGTTCCTGGATTAAAAACAAAGGCAAGGATCCCAGAGCTTCAGAAAGCCTCACTTTTTCATGGTTTAAGCAAGCCAACTTTAATACTCACTGGAGAGTTCAACAACAGTTCTTTTCTTTCCCAACTCCTGTGTGCCTTAGCTGTTAACAAACACATGACTTGCCCCTGCACCATGAACCATGGGCAGCTCATGTGTTAAGTGCTGCCTGCTGGCAATGGCACAGGAAGCAGCCAGAGCCACTGGCAGCAACAGCCTCTTCACCTTGGACCAAGTAGTAGCATGGAGCCCAGGGGGACCTTTTCAGTTTCAGTGACACTGCTACAATTTTCATTGTAAGAAACCTGTCTGCAACTAGGCCTACATTTTTTGGCAGAGACAAACGGGACTGAACCAAAGAATTTCCTTGCTGGAATTTGCAACCGTTGTGCACTCAGCTTGTCTCATCCACACAGCATCCCACCTCCATTAACAGGGAGTGTAGCAGGCTTGTGTGCCTGCACGGTCTCTTGCTATTTAATCTGTCCTTGCACCTGTCATACAGTGCAGACAGGCCTGAGTCACTTGGCTGTCATTGCAGGACTTCAACTGTCCTGCAAATCTTGGAATCAGAAACCCAGGGTGGTTTCAGTTTAGGATTTGGTGCAGGTCATTATCGACACAAACACCAGCCCTAAAATTCACATGCTAAGCTTCCTTCAACACTTGCAGGTTTGTCAGATTATTTGATCCTGTTTCACAAAGCC